TCATGTAAATATGTGAAGCATTATAAATATTTGCCTTACAAATATGTACAAAATATGTACAAACATTCAAAAATTATATTTATATTACAAATATTTGTTTTCAGTTCATGTGGGTTTGTAGGTTTTTGTTTTTGTTTCACAGAACTTTGAAAACTATTCTTTAGGTCTTCTCAGTGACCTAGGTTCATGGCAATTTATGATTTTTAGTTTAAGATCAAAGAAACTTGAGACTATAAATTTAGGTAGGTAATTTAAATTCCCTAAGGCTCATTTTTCTCACCTTTATAATGGGGATAATATATAAGTCAAAGCCATAGAACTATTATTAGCATTTGAAAAGTAAGCATATAAAATGTTTAACAGAGTGCATATAAATCAGTGCTCAATAACAGCAGCTAAATTATAAATTTAACTGATTATTCTGAAAAAAATTCATTAATTTCTGTTGATCTTAACTTTGCTCTGAATAACCCAAAACTATTCAACTAACTTGAGGGATACTCAGCTAGCTATATATAAAGAGAAGACTTTCACAAATAAATAATGTTTAGCACACACATGGACACATATATGCACACACAGAGAGTTACATGCAATGAAAATTATTAAAGGAATAATATGGATTGAGAGTCTCTTGGAGTAGGGGTGGGGGCTGGGATGGCATTCCTGAGAATCCCAGGACATAGAGCTTACTGAACTGAATGAGGAAACTTCCGTAAACAGGCATGGATGTTTTATGCTCCCTCAATCAATAAGAATGTGGAAACACCTTTACAAAGTGTGCACATGGGCACACAGTTCAGAGATTAATTGAGAGACTTGGTTTATCTATTCTAACAAATGTTGGTTAAATTTCATTTTCTTTTTCTCCAGACCTATCAATAGTTTTCCTTTGTCAGATTGAATACATAAATCAACAGTATGTACTCCTGGAACAAACTATTATTATGAAACTCCTGTCCTTCATCTATTGATTCCTAAAACTTTATTTACCCATGCATTTTTTCCTTCATTGTATCCTATTAGAACTGCTCTTTTTCACACTATTGTAGCTAGAATCATCTGTGGCTCTTGAATTGTCAATGCATCAAGGAGCACTCAAAATAGCATAGAAAACATGAGCAAGCCCATTGCTAAATTATTTCTTGGTTCCACCATTGTAGTATTTCATCAGCTTCAAATTATAGTAATTATTTTACTGCAACTTAGAAAAATTATTAGAAGGGTTACTATATTGATGATTTTTGATGCTATTTGTCCTATAAAATGTGTAGAACTGCTTAAGGACAAAGAATATTTCATAGAAAACCCTCAGGTTTTACTTTCAAATGATATGCAACTGAATGCATATACTGCCAAGTTGTTTTACTTATCAATCTTTAACAAAATGCTAAAATAAAATTATTTTACATATTTCAAACCTTTAAAAAAAAATCTCTTACAATAACTATAGCATGTGCTCATTCAATACGAAAACTAAGCTTTAAAAAATCTGCTAATATTATGCATTCCCCATTTGATAATAAAAAGTATGAATTGATTTTTTCAATTTTAGTATGAAAATATGACATAATGAATTTCAGCATGATATAATTTGAAGTAGCCAATATATTAAACCCAAAAGTAAAATTTAAATTGGCAGTCCTGTCAGATTCAAGCCCCTGAATGAATATTAATTTAAGAACTAATCATTTTCCAACAGGTTGAAGTTTCAAAATGCTAGTTTTGGAGTAAAAGCTATCATATTCATTAGTGTAGCAATATCAATCATTTTTTGTTTAGTAAATTAGATCTCCAATGTTTAGTACATCTGCCTTTTCTTGGCATTTTTTTGCCCATGTATTTAATTATTGAAAATCATTTCTTTTTTTCTGATTTTGGGAAATTAGAATTGCAATATTACTGTTGGGAAGCTGATGCCAAGTGAACTGTATGAGGTAAAGCATAAAGTTAGATCTGTTACTTAATTTTATATCTCCAGGTCTTTGTAAGTTAAATTCTGTTTTCTATGCCATCTCACGAACAGAGCTGTATGTTGTATTTTTGCGCACACACACACACATACACACACACCCAGAGATACACAGAAACACACACAATATAAGCTCATCAATTTGTGGCTGCACTGGAAGATGGATGAAAATATGGATACACGTTAAGTTCAGACTTGCAGTTTGAAGTTTGACTGAACTATATTATTATTTGTTAAATTTTATGCCTAGCATGATAGAAGTCCCTAATCCCAAAATTAAACAGAGTTTGGATGTATTACATAAAATGCAACAATGACTAAGTTATATTTTATATTAAATTTATTTTTCTGCAAATGTTCTTTGCAGTTGTACAATGAAAGAGTAACAGGCTGCATCTGTCTCTATCTTGGCCACAAAATCTACCAAAAAAATGCTTTTGTGTAAATACTTGGCAGCATGGGAAAGCAGAAAAAAGCACAAGCCTGACCATTGATTAATGGAGCCGGCCTTGTCGCTTACTGTCTAGATAACCTTACACAACTCAACTGCTTGTTGTACTCTAAGTAATTGTGCCTCACTCCACATGCCACTTATTTTTTTTTTTTTTGAGACACAGTCTTGGTCTGTTGCCCGGGCTACAGTGCCCTGGCTTCAGCCTAGCTCACAGCAACCTCAGACTACTGGGCTCAAAAGATCCTTCTGCCTCAGCCTCCCAAGTAGCTGGGACTACAGGCATGCGCCACCATGCCCGACTAACTTTTTTCTCTATATATTTTTAGTTGTCCAGCTAATTTCTATTTTTCAGTAGAGACGGGGTCTCGCTCTTGCTCAGGCTGGTCTCAAATTCCTGATCTTAAGCTATCCACCCGCCTCGGCCTCCCAGAGTGCTAGGATTATAGGCATGAGCCACCGCGCCCGGCCACATGCCATTTATTTTTATGTAGAACTCTAAGAGGGATTCATTTTGTTCATCTAGTCTGATCCTCTTATTACATAAATGGGGAAACTGAGTCAAATGAATTTCTTAAGTCTACAGAGTAGCATTATCTAAATCAGATTTCCCAACTCCTAATCTCCTGTCCTTCCCACTACTTCTTATAACTTTTAAGTAATGAATGTATTCCTTATTTACCATCTATAATATAGATTCTTATAAATTTCATAATAACTGTATTCAGACTGGTGTTCAATTTAAAGGAAACTTGTGTAGATCTCCAATTTAGAGTAAATAATTGTTCTTTAATTTTCATCTGAATGAATCCAGATTCTCATAATGTTGGGTACCCTTAAAACATTCAATAAATGCCAGAGGTACAAACAGACCTGAATGGTTTTTCTAACGTTTTATGACTGTTTAGTTCTGTATTTCTAATATAAAATGTAGTGTACTTAAAAACTCATACAAAAAATAAATACAAGAAGTGTACAAATTGGAAAGGACAAGTTTTCTCTTGATAGTCAAACAGTTATGAAATGAAGCAGTCTCATTAAATCATAAGTACTTTAACCTTTTCTTGAAAGAAGGGGAAGATTTAAAGATTTATAAAGAAATTTTGCCTAAACTAGGAAATGACTCATATTTGACATGTATTGAAATGATAATGCTGATTTCAATAGGCACTCTAAGAGCATTTTATTCCCGGGAGAGTAATTCAGTCATGGTTACCTCCTTGCATTTAGATTTTAAACTTTCTTTGTAAAGCTTTTAATGTACTACTGCCTGCCAAAACATGGTACAGTTTCACAGACAAGAACAAAATAAAGACAAGTAAAAAGAAATTTTTTATCATTGTTGAGACAAAAATATGCAACAAACATCTCATCTATGTGGCATCTTCTGCAAATCGCCTTTCTTTAGCAGCTTCTATTTCCACATTTTTTAACATTAAAACCTAATTGTGTTGCACTTGTCAACAGGGAGAATCGACAACTTCAAGATAAAGGACAAATAGATCCCATATCTGTTAACTACTGAACAAATGAAGAGTAAGCACAGAGAAACTGAAACCATCATATCCTATAGACAGGGCTTGATGCCAGATGTGACCTGCCCCTTTGTATACCCTTTCAACACTGGTGGCATATGGAAACACTGTCCTCTACCAACTGTATTTGCTAAACTCATATCCTAACTAATATTAATACTTTAAAGCCAAATAACAATTTTCAAAACTCTCCAAGGAAGCCCACTTACTACCTGCTTCGGGTTGAAAAAAAATGTGAGAAAACAGAGATAATTTTCATAAAATGAATGAGGGTATAAATGTCCTCAAGCGAGAATGGGGTTCACGTGGACCACTGGGTCAATTCTCCTGTGAGAGCTCATAGTGGAAACTGCAGTACGAAGCACCTCTGGCTTGAAAGGCAAGGGTGGCTTTTGGCTGTATTGGGCCCTTCCCACGCCCTGAGGAAACAAAAGGATGAAGTGTGCCTCTATTCTAGGGACTGTAAATACCAGGCAGCTCACAGCTATCTCAGCCTTTAGCAGCTTCTAAGGCTCATACAAACTGGGGTTGACAACTAAAATAATAATATAACACCTTTTGAGTGCCTCAAGTGTAAAGTTCATTAGTTCTAAGGTCAGCATTTTGATGCAACAGCCAAATTTTACTCACAACATCAGATGCTATCAGAAAAAGACAGCTATAAAAATCAGGCAGGGGTTTTAATACAGCCACGACTAAGAAAATTAGTACTGGACACCAAAAGAGCCCTTACACATTTTTAAACAAAACCAAATATACTAACCAAAGTTTTTAAAAATTTCCAAGGATATTAATTACAAATAGCATTGTTCTCCAGCATCTGTGGGAGTTTTTATAGCAATTTTGATGAGGGAAATGCTAGTCTATCAAGAGATACATCAACAGGTCATTTAAATATTTTTCTTCTTTAGTTGTCATTTACACATACCTGAAATTTAAAAGATACTGCTGTAGATTTTGCGAGTAAATGCCATTTAAAGGAGAGAAAGTAAGATAGATCCTTGTGTTTAACCAAATGTTAAATATTTTTTATTTTACTCACCTGCACACTAAGATGAATCCATTTCTTCAGAAGAATTCTCCCCAGTGTCATTACTTTTATTGGAGGCTGCAAACCATTTACTGTGCGGTAATAAAACATGGTCTCTTTCTCAGATATTGTAAGTTTGAACACAATCTGCTCATCCACTGTCTTTTCTATAACACACCTTAGGAAGCAACCAGAAAAGAGAGAAAAGGTCAGCATCCAACCAAAAAGACATGCCAATGCATCGTGCAGTTACAGTGATGCTAAAATGATCCCAAACTTCACTCAAAATGGTACACTAAGTGCCTGAAATGTCATTATATTCAAAGCAAGCTTTATTCCAGAGAAGAAGCCTTTTTATTTCAATAAAAAATAGAATTCTTATTTACAATATATTCCCCAGAGCCTCAACACCCTTTATTAGAGATTCATGCTGGAAACCTGAAGTGGTTGAATCATTCTGCAAAACTAACATTTAACCTATTGGCTCATTAGTTCTTCTGCTATTTCTTTTATAGGAAGTGGTACAACACACTACATCCCACTTGGGTATTGAGTCACCAGTGCAAATCTTTCTCTCTTTTTTTAAATGTAAAGAGAATTTAGCATCCATGGAAGGCTCTAAATTGCTAGCCCTGGAGTCAGAATCACTCTATTTAATTCCCATGATGAAATGGAGAATGGACATCTATAGTCTCTACTCACCCCACCATCAACTGGCCAGAAGCCAAAGCCAATGTCTGTAAGAGGCCTGGCTACCTCTTCATATGGTCTAACTAAGGCACTGAGATAATGGTAATGATCTTGGGTGAACGGTCATTCAATCTTCTACGAACACAGTGAAATAATATTTGATAAGATAAAAGAATTTTAGAATGTTTCTAGGTTCTTGTGTCAAGCCAGTTATCAATTTTTTTTTTAGTTACCTCAAATCCTTATTACAGTAACACACCTTTCAGACCCAGGCTTCCCTTCTTTACCTGGTTACCTCCAACTTAGCTTCAGCATCTCTATGATTACGCCTGATCCGGGAACCCTTCTCCTGCTCAAGGTTGGTTAAGGGGTCTCCCTTTGTGCACACCTAACACGCTATGCCACCTAGGTAATAGCACTAATCCATTTGTCTTCCCCATTAGATCATTTAGATCATGAGTATTCTGAGGATAGAAGCACATGTGGTATAGAGCAGACCCTGAAAAAATGATGAGTTTGTGATCAAACTAGTTGGAAGCAACAAAGAGGCAAAGGTAAAATCAGGTCAACCAAAAATTACTGCTAAAGATGTTTTAAAATTTTTCTTAAAGAATACATTTTTCAAAAATCATTTCTTCTCACTTCCATCTATTTTTTTTCCTGAGTTGGGGGGTAAGAATAAGATTGGAGAACACTAGTAGTACCTCTTTTGCTGTCACTATTTTACTAAATTTTTTACATGTATTCGGTAGTAAAGTTATGAGAGCAAGTATATTTTTAATTTAGGCAAATCACTGTAGTTGATGTAAAGGGTTTTTATAAGTAGAAATAAAGGTTTATATAAATTTTGCCACAAATTTTTTTAACCCGTTAGTAGTTGGATATTTCTAATTTACTAGAATGAAAGAATTTTTCTTTATCCCCTGCCCCAGGTCTTGAACAAGCTGAGAAGAGTTTGCCTCTATTCATTTTTCTTGAGTTTAAATCTACAAGTGAGGATTCAACCATTACTCAAGAATGTATTTACCAAATGCAGACTTATTTCCCCAAGCTTACTGAAAATGCATTTCTTAATATGTTATTGATTATCTTCCTTGCTATTTTGTTTGCTTGTAAACATACTAGCTTTGGGAGATAATAAATGTGAGAGGAAGGCAGGTAGCAAAATATTTAGGAACTGGATTTATTTCTGCTCCTGAATAAACAATAATTGGATAATCCATGTTTTGTTTGTTTTACTTATCTAGTGCAAACACCCCGAAATTCCCCCAATTCCCATAGGTATTTTAGTTTTGAGAATGGAAATGACCTTCATACAAGGAACTCTCAAAACCATAAACCATGTGCTACCACCTCGATAAATACTCCTCGGTCTTATTTATACAAAGTGATGCCAATAGAAGATGAATTTGGTACAGATATGTCCCTATAAGCTTGGAAAAATATTTTATCCTAGCACTATTTGTCAAGAGACAATGTTTTAGGACTCTTTGGATACTAGTTACATAAACTGAGTAGCTTAAATTTACTAGAATTTCAAACAGTAAGACAACAAAGTTTTCTTTTAGGGGAGATGTAGAAATAGGGATAATGGTTTATGATTAATTTTCAATCCAAATTTAAAACAAAATGAAAACATGGCAACTTTCTCTTGGCAAATTGAAATTAAACAATAAAGACATTTAAGTTATATTTGCTTATAAGATGGTAAGACCTTTCCGGTTTGTTTCACAAGTGTTTAGATACCTAGCCAACACTCTCACACAAAGAAAATGTCACAAGAGGAAGGTCCAAAAGCCCTACAGGGAGACAAAAGATGAGCAAAAATGCCTCGAAACCGTTCTACTTATTAAAATTTCCAAGTTGGCTCTAAATATTTAGGGGAAACACATTAGATATCAGCTTGAGAAAACACTACAGAATGAAAAACAGGTGATTCAGAGAGACAAACCTCACACGTTCCCATTCATGTATGGGAGCTAGATATTAAAACATAGAGCTCATAGAGACAGAGAGTAGAATGATGGATACCAGAGGCTAGGAAGGGTAGTGAGGAAGGTGGGATATGGTGGGGATGATTAGTAGGTACAAAAATACAGTTAGCTTATAGAATGAACAATATTTGATAGCACAACAAAGTGACCACAGTCAACAATAAGTAATGGTATACTTTAAAATAACTAAAAAAGTGGAATTGGAATGTTCCTAACACAAAGAAATAATAAATGCTTGAGGTGATGGATCCCCCAATTACCCTGCTTTGACTAACACACATTGTTTGCCCATATCAAAACATCACATGTACCTTATGAATATATACAACTATTATGTACCCATAATAATTAAAAATAAAAAATGTTTAAAAAGAAAAACAAGTGATTGAACAAACTAACAAGAAATGACGGTAAGGGAGCCCCACTCCAAAATCACCGAAAGCATTTCTCTGGGATCAACAGCATAAGAGCTTTTAAGAATATCACATGTTTACCTATATATTTTCTAAGTAATTGGAAATTGAAAATACCACAAGGTAAAGGGCTAAAAGCTATATCTTTTTAGAGATGGAGTGTTATTCTTACAGTCAACTCATATTATTGAACATCTTCCATGAGTCAAGCAAACAGGTCTTCTTGGGTAAATAAGGATGAATAAAACACAGTTCTAAGCCCTCAGAGAGCCCTCTGCCAAATGAAAATTTTATACCCTAGTAGGGGCATGTTATTTGTATAAACCTAGACTAATACTTTGAAAATATCAATTATTTGTATTACTAATCTTCATGCCTTAAAACTCACACTCAGTCTGGTTTACGTTCTGAAGGCTAAGAACAAATGTCCAACTAACCAATAGGAAATAAATGATTCAGGTGTAAACATGTCTGCCTGCAATGAAACTGTGCTAACACATTCTTTGTTCATGGTCCACTTCATCCCTAGACGAGCAAAAAAATTTTAATTTGGGAAAATATTGGATTGTAAATTTGAATAGGAAAGACTAACATAGGAGTCGGTCTTGGATCACATGACTTCCATACTATTAGCTTTCATTTCTAGTGTGGAATTCAGGTCGCAATAATCTTCACTACTACTGATTTTTCAGGGTCCTAGGAAAGCTTATACCCACGCTTCTACTTACATTACACCTTCTTGCTCAGGTTTCAACCACACAGCTAAAGTAAACGATGCCGCCAGCCTTGGAAGAGGAGGAGGAGGAGAAGAAAAGCAATTCTTGTGATTTCCAAAAATAAAACTTGTAGAATTGCTATGGGAATTGGGATGCAGATCATTCTTGTCTGCTGTGATGCAGCTACTGAGGCCTGCTGAGAAGAGGGCGGTGTACGTCGGGGTTGAAGATCTGTATGGGCAATCCTGAATGCAAAACCGCTGGGTACAGAACTGAATACTTTCAGCAGCAGCAGAGCTATGACAAAATGTGCTTCGGTTTGGGAGTCCACACGTTGCTTGGGTTGGCACAATTGAAACATTCTTGAAAGCTCCCACGTTCTCCAGCCTTGGGAAAAGACCCTGGGAGTCAGCCAATGATATAGAAGCAAAATAGGCAAAGATCAGCGTTTCGATGACCTGAGACAAGAAGCCACAGCCCAGTGAAAGAATCAGGCAATTCATGTTTACAAAAAAAGCATTCTCCTCCTGAAAAAACATTCCTAAATAAATAATCAGGCCATGCCACTTGCCAGCAACACTTTAAAGCAGGGTACTTTAAGTAACATTGAGATACTCCATTTTCGGGAAACTGCAGACACGTTTTCACACTGAGGCAATACCAAACACGTTCTTAGCAACGGCGAAGACATGAGTAGCAGCTGGTATCTGGAAATCAAAAACAGGTGTCAAGGGAAAGCTGCTGCATCTTTAAAACTGAAGTTCAGCTTGAGGACTCTGCCCCTCAACAACGAACACTATTCAACTTCTCAAAAAACATTTCAAAGTACAGTGTTTAGAGTAAAATACCCATTTTTTTTTTTTTTGGTAAACATCTTGATTTTATTGGGCAAATCAAGAACTTTAGAAGTCCCCAGGACAACCAGTTTTTTATATATATAACGTAAGTATGTGCATATAATTATCAATAACATATTTCACCATATGTTAATTTTAGGTGGTTACTCTACCCCAGGGAATTAGCACTATCTTCTCTACTTAACAAGGTAAAGAATCGTATAGATTTTCTTTACACGTGCACCGTATGTTGTAACCCAGAGCTAACTTGCAGATGCCCAAAATAAAGCTGGCAAAGCACTTTGGGCCCTTCCCCTTATTCCAGCATGTGCAGCAACTTTAAGCTCACAGTAAAGCTGATTAGAAACCCAACACCATCTGTCTGTCCTATGCCTTAATATTTAGCAAAACGGTTGTGTTAGTGTTTCCTCACAGGACTATGTAGTTTGAAGGTTATATATGGACTCTTAATACTGTGCAAGTAATTGTATTGATAAGTAAGCTGAGTTACCATTTCTTTATTGCATTTCAACCAGTCCCCTCAGTGTGACAAATGGCTCTTAAACGGGACTGCTGTCCCTCGTTGCCTGGCGACGCTGCTGTAACCCCTGGTCACTCTTAGCAAATAGACAGCAGCAGCAGAAATGCTGCAAGGAAAACTTGGGTGCCCAGGTAAAGCACTCCGCACAGCAAACACTTGGTTACCTGAAACTCAGAGCGTAGTCTGCTTGGTGGCCCGCCTGGAACTGAGCTCCCCAACCTTTCAGCTGGTACCTCAAGCAGTGGGAGGGACCTGGATGGGGCCGTGCATGCATAATTTTAAAGTAGCAGTACACCTTATCCTATAATCCCCCATCCCCCTCCCCCTTCTTGCTGTCATGCAGCTCAATCCATTTTATTCTTTAATCAAAATGACCTACCACTGTTAGACAGCCACACAATGAGTAACTTCTAGTGCTTTCTTTTTTGGGAGGGATACAAAATGGGATTCCAAACCTTAATATATTGATGGCCTAAAAGCTTGGCCCATTGATGGAAGTTTCTGTTGACCATTCAGTTGTTGCTGTAGCTTTCGCCCGAGGATACTCTCTCCTAAACACACCTGCTGCTTTAGGTTATGAATAGCATCTGATGTTATCTCTAAATGTTGGGTTTGGAAAATGAGTGATTTTAATTAAACTACAAAGCAAAGGGACTTCTAACTTTTTGGCTGCCTACTTGGACATGAATACGTGTGTGTTTAAGTGTACGTGTTTGCAGTCAGTTTTATGTAGTTTCTATTACATCCAAAACTCTCTCTTTTCTGCCATATGGCATATCTCATCCTAGATGAGAAATTTTCTAAACCAACTGATACTGCTAGCCTTCCATTTTCATCTTAAAAACAGAAAATTTATTTGGGAAACAACTGGTCAAATGTAATTTTGCTCCCTATAAACTATTGTCTTGGTAGAAATGAGGGAAATGTTTTCTTGTGAGTAAAGCAGCCAAAAACAAACCAAAATTGTTAGATGCTGTTTAATTTCTCTCCCTTTAATTTCTCTCTACCACAAATTTTTTTTATATAACGACTTTTTCAATTGGAACTAGGTGGTTCTAGAAGACCTTTTTCACCTTTTGTCAAAATATACTATTTTCTGTTTGTTGATTATTATACTCTTACAAGACCAATTTTTTATTAAAAACAAATTTTCATATAAAACCAGCTAAAATGTAAGGACTCCCAAGAATTTGGCAAAATACGTTTACAAATAAATATGGAAAGCACAGTGAGTTAGACAAATGGGTTATTCAGACCTGCTATAAAACATGCAATCAACCTGTTTTCAAACAAGGCATTCAATGGCTGGCTTCTTTTTTACATCTTGTGAATCTAAGAACTAACTTGAATTTTTAACTATAGTGCTTCAGTCTATCTTTTTGGTTACCATTCCTGGGTAAGAATTCTTCCACCCCATGACAACAGCTTTGTAGTAGAAAGTCATGACTCAAAGTGGATAATCTAAGATTAGCAACTCTGCTCCACATTAAGAAATTCTGCCTGTAATTTGCAAAGGCAAACCATGTATTGACATGCCCCTCAACTTTTGCAATTCAGTACTATTAATCCTAAGAACACATCTGATAAATTGATAAATTAATACACACCAGGAATTCCACAACTCCTTTAAGGGCCTTGGGAAATAAGTACAGACTGAAAAAAAAAAGTAAAAAAGTAAAGGTAGCCACGGGGAAAGTTTAGCTAAACATATGTAAACATATGCTTTTTTTTTCTTTTTTCCTTATTCTTCTGTGGATTCACTGGGCAGCTTTTCTGGTCTGGAACAGCCTGGCCAGGGCTGAATGTTCTGACTTGGCCTCACTCATCTAGAGGTTGGTGTGATGTCAGCTGTATCAATAGCCATGGGAGTCTACGCCAGGCTCATTCTGACAATAGCAGAAAGATTCCAGCCACATAGGATGGGAGGCCCGAATGTGCAAGTACTTTTCAAGCCTTTGCTTGCATCACATTTGCTAATGATCCACTGGCCAGAGCAAGTCACGTGACCTAGCATAGGAAATAGCTTCCACATCTCAAAGAAGGAATGGCCAAGTCACACTGCAAAGGGGCACACATCACAGGAATGGAAAGAATTTGAGACTGTTTTGCAATCTTCCATGAAGAGTTGCTAGAAATTTCTTTTTCCAGCTATAAAGACATCATGTCATATTGCATCAGAATTTCCTTGCTTTTGAAAAAGTCGAGAAAATGATGTTTTAGTTAGACAGCTACAAGCAAGTTCCCCTCAGTATTCTGAAAAAGCTTATTATAATATGCTTACAATAAGCTTAGCTTTTCAAGCTCTTGAGGCTTAGATTCTCTTAATGGACAAAATCAAGGGATATCCCCTATTATTGAGTAGTTTGGCATCCATGGATTTACTATTAAAATTGACTAATCTCTGGCATAACTGACCAGAAAAAAAACAGTGGATGTATAAGTAATATTAGACAAAAAAAAAAAAAAATAGAGTGATACAATACAGCTGTAGTGTGATTACAAATATAAGAAAATGTTATAATTTTATGACAATTAACTTGAATTCTTACACAAATTGGACAAATTCCTAAAACAATTTCCAACCTAAACTGATTCAAGAAGAGTTGGAAACAACCCAAATGTCAATCGACTATAGAATGCATAAATTGTTGTATATCCGTAAAACGAAATGATAATAACACAATGAAAGTAAAACGAACTACTGTTATAAGCAATGATGTGGAGAAATCTCACAGAAATGGTGAGCAAGTCAGACAAATCAAGAACATACTGTATGATTCCATTTATATGAAGTTCAAATAATGGCAAAGTTAAGTTTGGTGATAGAAGTCAGAATAATGTTTTCTCTTTCAGGCTGAGGGTCAAATGGGAATGGGTTCAAGGAGGCCTGCAGGACTGCTGGAAATAGTATTCTATATCTTGGTGTGGGTGGTGCTTACACAGGTGGACACATTTGAAAAAAACAAATTCGTCAAGCTATTCCCTTAAGATTTGTGCACTTTATACAAATTATACCTTAATTAAAAGGAGAAAATGTTAAATATGAATAATTCTATTCATTAAATAAATAATCTATAGCTACCTTTCTTCCCACAAGGAAAACAATGGGTCCAGATAGTGGTATAAATCAGTTATACTACAATTCTGGGAAAATATAATTCCAATTTTTACAAACACTCTTGCGAATGACATAAGAGAGACTATTTCCCAACTTATTTCATGAGGCTAGTATAACCTTAATATCAAAAAAAAGATAAGAGAATATGACAAAGAAGAATTATAGGACAATCATGCTCATATACATAAATGCAAAAAGTAAATTCTAAATGAAACACAAGCAAACTGAATCCAGGAAGGTATAAAAAGATTAAGTCTCCTGACCAAGTTGGGTTTATTCCAGATTTGCAAAAATTGGTTTGAATTAGAAAATGTATTAATGTAATTCACCATAAAAATGTACTAAAGGAAAAACTCATATATTTAGGACCAAAACCCTGAATAAAGAATTTACTTATTTAAAACCAAAACACAAAACTCACAACTAATGAATGCGGTGAGCATTGTAAGGGGGAAAAGACACTCCTCAAATCATGGTTCAGGTGTGGCAAAGTCATAGCATGTAACCAAAATGTTTGTACCCCCATAATATCCTGAAATAAATAAACAAACCAAAACAATTTTTTAGAACCAAAATACTTAATAAGCCAAAAATAAAGGAAACTTTTGTAACTTGACATAGATGATTTGCCAAAAAAGTCATAAATAAGGAAAATCTTCATAATAATTGACATTTTGTTTAAAATCAGGAGTAAAACAGGGATACCCACTATCACTGCTTCTATATAACATTTTGGTAGACAGTGAATTAAGACAAGGTAAATAAGCATTAAAGGATAAGGACTGGCCATGATTATCAAATGTGATCTACCTCTCTAGATAACACAATCTAAAGGCAAATATTCGACCTACATGTCTGGAGAGAAAATACATCTATGACTAATGCTGTTCATCAATTTTTTACTGGCTTTTTTTTTTTTTTTTTTTTGCCGGCACATGCCACTTGACCTGTTGTCAAATAAAGGGTGGCCATATGACTTGCTTTAGCTAAACGAAATGTGAGAAGTGACATGTGTCACCACCAGGCTAAAGCTACAAGTACCAATGTGCATTTACTATGCTTTCTCTTTTACTAAATAAAACAGGGGTGGTAGGAAAGGCAAGGGCATGGTTGGCAAATGCAAAATTCAGGAAGTGAACACCCAGTAAAGAAGGAAAGAGGGGCAGGGGAAACGAGGAGATTGGAGGTAAATGACTGAGCTGCCACAGAAAACAGTACAGAAAAAAATACGGATGCCAGAATCAGCAGATTGCCCCTGAAATAGAGAAGGAAAGTGAGACAACACCTTCCAGGAACAGAGATAGGTAGGTTAAGGGGTACCCATTCAGACTGATGTGCTTTAAATATGTGTCAAGGCATATTTAATGAAGTGAGAAAAAACAGAGTTTCTTCCCTCCCTATCCCATACATTTTCTTTCTCCTTTAAAATTATGCAAGTAATATATAACCACTATAAAAAAAAAAAAATGTTTTTTTCCAAGCAACATGGAGAGGCAAAATTGAAGGCTTCATCCACCTCTCACTCCATTATGCCTCTATTAGAAGTTTGACCTTTTTCTATAAATATGAAATACACGTATGTTATACAAAACAAATTCAATGTTCTGAAAAATTTTAGCAAATTCAGTGCTTCCCTTTTATTTTCTTTTGTAATCTTCTGAACCAATACAATTTCTTGCAATGCTTAAATTTCAGATCGCAAATGAAATCACGTTTCTCGATGAACAGCGATCATTGACACATTATTCTGTTTTTGAATTCTTGCTAAAATTGCTAACTTGACATAGATGATTTGCCAAAATAATCATAAATAATAAAAATCTTCATAATAATTGGCATTTTTGTTAAAAGCAGGAGTAAAACAAGGACACCCACTACCACTGCTTCTATTTAACATTTTGGTAGCCAGTGAATTAAGACAAGGCAAGCCTGCAGGACTGCTGGAAATAGTATTCTATATCTTGGTATGGGTGGTGCTTACACAGGTGGACACATGTGAAAAAAAATTCAAGGTACCTAAGAATAAATCTAAGAAAT